CTATGAGGTGAGAGGCTCTGAAGATGATCGATGTACTTAGGTATAAGCATATAGGGTATGATTAGTATGTGTTATAGCTTTGTTAAGCGTTATGCTTTAGGGTGTAATGATATGGCCCTTTACCTTGGGGGGGAGATTATTTATATAACCCTCAAGGGCCTAGGGGATTTGGTCATCTTATATTTAACTTGCATTAGAAGTAATCAAGTCCTTAGTGACATCTTGTAATAATTAAGTTGGTTTAATTCATTGAGATGCTTTGAAGCTCTCTTAGTGTTGTGTTTTTCTTTTGTGCATGTTAAAATCACTGATTACATTTATGGGACCTGCAATGTGTTTGAAATTGTCTTTTTAGGGATAGGTTTATTCAACCCTCCCATCTTCTATACCTATTTGTGTCCATATTATCACCCAACATATTACTCCTAATATTAATTCATACTTATGTGAATACTAAAAACTCTTAATACATGATTAATGAGATGTGATAATCAATCTACCCACATAATAGTCACAATGCTTTAATATTATCCCATTTCACAATAAATATTGACTATGGATACTTTAATAATTATGTCCTTATGATTAATGGGGTCTCATGATTAAGTCACACTTAATGTTTCATTAAATGGACTGGATATTTTAGGGACTCTATTATTTTGGGGAAAAAACATAACAAAGAAATGCCTTATTATTATTAATAAATAATTTTATACAAGTATCAAGTTCATCATAAAGCTATTGGTATATAGGGCTTACACCAACATGATTTGCCTATATTCCTTATTGGTTTAACATGAAGCCTAAAAACTTATTCACCTGAACCCTAAATGGGCATTTGGACGGGTTTAAATACATTTTATAATTTTTGTCTGACTTAAAAATATACTTCAAATTGCTACAATGATTTCCTTTTTTTTGAGGGCTTGAAAAGCTCCCTATTTAATTAGGAAAAATGAAGTCCAGTAGCCTTTAATAAGTTACGCATGTATTCTTTGACCCAAATGGCATCACCTCATAATAGTAGTTGCATTTATTTGACAAGAATGAAGTTTTAGGGGCATATATAGGGTCCATCTTAATTTGGTTGTAACTAGCGTAAGAATCCATGAAGCTCAAGGTTTTGTACCAAGACGACCTTTCAACAAATCTGTTAATTTTCGGTAATGGGTAGGGATCCTTATCGCACACTGAGTTCAAACCAGTGAAGTCTACACACATCCACCATATCACAAATGTATTTCGAACGGATATTACATTCGTCAACCAAATGGAATATTTAATTTCAATTATGAAGTTTACTTCTTTCAGTTTCATAACATCTTCGTAAATGGTCAATCTCTTTTCCTTTGCTACTTTGAGTTTTCTTTTCATTACTAGCTTCGTTATGAAAATGATGGTGATACAATGGCATACATTATACTGTCAATCCATGGCATATCACAAAGGGTTCATATAGAGGTGGAAAGCGGAACGGGCCTACCCGCTTAACCCATTTTTGGAAGACTGGGGCAAGGTTCTCGACTCGGTGTCTTAAGTTGGCCAACCCCGCCTAACCTGCTTTTTAAATGAGCCGAGGACGGGGCGAGCTGGGTTTTTTCCGTAGGCTTTTAATTTAAAATATTATTATTTTTTAACTGGAATTAAAACAATACTAATATGGTCTACAATATACATACTTTTAAAACAACCCTCATTTCTTCAAACCCTAATATTCATTTTTCACATAACCACAAACACCTCATTTTGAAGACATTAACTTGTCTTCATTTCGTTCTTCATCTTCACTCATAGTAGAAACAATATTTATTGCAAAACATACATAATGTAGTCTTTTCTCTTTTCTATTATTCGTTGTCATAGGAGTCGGGTTCAAGGCTTTAAAGTAAGTTTTGCACATAGGGTTTTGTTTCTCATTATGATAATAATTTTTTGATTTGTATTTTAATCTATTTGAATTCTCATTTTATTTATTTTTTGATAGTAAAATGCTCAACTAAGTGCTTATTATTTGTCTTAATAATCATTAAATAATTAAGTTTTGATTTTACTTGGATTGTTTTATTTTTGAGATGCTTCCATTGGTAAAGCTACCGATTTTGATGTCGTTGATCTTGGAAGTTATTAAAACGTGGGTGACGATGAAGAGAGAGATGGTGGAAGGTTCCATCCAATGGCTACGATATAAACTGAAACTTCATAAGTTCACGACAAAGATGATGATTGATGAAAGTGTTTGTCATGGAGCCTTTATGATTGTTTTTTTGTTGTTGGTTCTTGGTAGTATTTGTTTAGCTTGTGCTAGTTTTTTTTAATTGATTTGGGTCCCTAATATCCTTAACTAGTTTATGTTTGTTGATCTTTTGAACTAAATAGATTATTTTGGGGGTTTTATCGTGTTTATTTTAAATTGTTGGTGTTATAGTTATATTGTTTTGTTTAGGTTGAAGAATATGAAGTTTAAATTAAGACTTGTGAAAGTTTTATTATGTTTTGTTAAAATTTGTCGGCCTCTTTGGTAATGATTAACAATTTTGTAAATTATGTAGTAAATCAAATTGTAAAAAAAGTTGACAGGTCGGCTTGCCAACTCGTAAGTAAATTGGGTGAGATTGACTTTTGAGTTCGAACACCTAAGTTGACCCACCCGTCCTGTTTTGGACGGAAGGGCTTAAACGGGACGGGTCGTCCTCTTTGCTCCCCCTAGGTCCAGATGAATAGATCGATGTTTTTGAATAGTAAGGCAACCAACTCTCTTTCCTCAACATTTATTAAATAGGTGCCCATGAAGTTAGTAACTAGAGTAGGCACCCATGAAGCTCACACTTTTGTACCTAGAAGACCTTTTGACGTATCTGTCCATTTTTGGCAATGGGTAGGGATCCCTAGGGCATGCTGAGTTCAGATCAATGAAGTCTACACACATTCACCACTTCACAGATGTCTTTCAAACTGATATTACATTTTCAACCAAATGGAGTATTTTATTTCAGTTAGAAAGTTAACTTCTTTTAGTTTCATAACTTTTTTGTCAATGGTTGTTCGCTTTTCCTCGACTACTTTGAGTTTTATTTTCTTTACTAGCTTCGTTATTAAAATGAAGGCGAGACAATAACATACAACTATAGTGTTAATCCATGACATATGAGAAGGGTCCAGATGAACTGGTCGAGGTTTTTGCAGAGTAAGGCAACAAACTCCCTTTCCTTGACATTTGTCAAATAGGTGCCAAAATTGGAAGAGTTGGATTCAAGCGAATCAATTCAAAAATCATTTAATTCTTATGTAGGTTATGTGGGCATAAATACTTACCTCTCAGGCTCTTTTTGGGGGTAAAGGTCAACAAAACGTATCCCTAGATAATTGGTCGTGGAGCAGTGCCAATGGTCATCCTAGTCACACAATTTTACGGTGATTACTATAAGGTGAAAGGCTCTGAAGATGATCGGTGTACTTAGGTATAAGCATATGGGGTATGGTTAGTATGTGTTATGGCTTTGTTAAGCGTTATGCTTTAGGGTGTAATGATATGGCCCTTTACCTTGGGGGGAGAGTATTTATATAGCCCTCAAGGACCTAGGGAATTTATTTCATTGAAGCTGAAAACCCTCATTTTATGAACATGTTTCACAACATTTTATATTTAATATACATTATGATTATGGTGATATGTTTCTCTTCTTAAGTGCAGTTGGTCCGCCTTTCACATATGGAGCATTCTATTTTCGCTCCAGTGAGAAGTTGAGAATAAAATCAAAATTGATTTGCCACCTCCATTTCAAGAGGATTTTAAGTTCAGTTTGTATTATTGGTAATTTTTGCATCGGGAAAAATACTCGTAGATTGTATTACTGGTATTCTTTGCATCGGGCAAGATACTCGTAGAGCCGAACAGTATTATGGAATCCAGCAACCTCGAATTTTATGGTATTCCTTCTCGTCCTGATGAGCACGTACAACCATATCGGAGTCCATATCTTTATTTTCATGGATTTGGTTATGATTATGTAAGAGATGACTATAATCATAACAATAAATATAAAACATGAAATTCATTTCCTTTATTTATCAAATGATATTACATATTGCATTCAGATTACTAATGTCATATTATGGCTTCCATTCAAATGAACTTCCGCAATTGCCATACATTTTACCGTTTGTGTAGTTTGTGTAGTCATTCCTAGCATGATAGAGATGAAGGAGATGAGAGAACCAGATAATTTACCGAATCTAGATACAATAAATAAAAGAACCGGATAACTAGACCACAAGTTATCCGGTGTGCAAAAAATATCAACGGAATAACTTCAATACAAGTTATCCGGTGTGCAAAAAATATCAACGGAATAACTTCAATACAAGTTATCCGGTGTGCAAAAAATATCAACGGAATAACTTCAATACAAGTTATCCGGAGAATAAACTTTAAAAAAAGTAAATCAAAAAATTTATTAGTGAGTTCTCCAGAGTGCAAAACGCGAACCTCGATATCTTGTGTATGAGTTTTCCGGAAGTAAAAAAATTACACAAAATTTTCACGCTCTAGTCGAAAGAAAATGAAGAAAAAATTGAAAATTGAAAATTGTTGAATATTAATACAAAGTATTTTTGTTCAATTTTTTATATTGTTGGAGTATAGGGTTAAATGTAGGGTTATGGGATAAATTGTTTTAGAAAAATCCTAATACAAGTAATTCACTAGTATAAAAAAAAATGTAATATAATTAGGTGAATGAATCAAACAATACAAAGTTGGTTGTTGGAAAAGAAGCATCCAAATTTGTTGAAAAACAATACTAAAAGAACAATAATTAAAAAATATATAAACAAAAATTAAAAATTAAAATCTATGGTGTGGTTGGGTTGGGTTAATCTAAATCTAAACCCTAAGTCTCAGCACCAACCAAACAAAAAAGATAGGATTATAGAGAACCAAACTCAAGTGTTTGTGTTTGTGTTGTGAGTAGTTGTTGAAAATCAACAAAACAAATAAAACAATGGCATCCTTATCCCTCTCATCTCCTCCATCTCTATCCTCTCCCTTCCACAATGCCTCCACGCGCCTTAACCTACGCACACCTCCCCCCCTTAAACTACGCACCCGTTACTCTCCTCTCTCCGTCAAAGCCATAACCCTAACCCAAGACGATCTCAAAAAACTCGCCGCCGATAAAGCCGTCGAGTATGTCAAAAGCGGCATGGTCCTCGGTCTAGGTACCGGCTCCACCGCCGCCTTCGTCGTCTCCAAACTCGGCGACCTTATCAAATCCGGCGAACTCACCAACATCATCGGCGTTCCCACCTCCAAACGCACGGAAGAACAAGCACGATCTCTCGGTATTCCTCTCTCCGTCCTTGACGATAATCCTCGTCTCGATCTCGCTATCGACGGTGCAGACGAAGTCGATCCTTACCTCAACCTCGTCAAAGGCCGCGGCGGAGCTCTCCTCCGTGAAAAAATTGTGGAGGCTGCTTCAGATAAATTTGTCGTTGTCGTCGATGATACGAAACTGGTTTCCGGTTTAGGTGGAAGCGGATTGGCTATGCCGGTGGAGGTTGTTCAGTTTTGTTGGAAATATAATTTGATTAGGCTTCAGGAATTGTTCAAAGAAGAAGGTGTGGATGCGAAACTGAGAGTGGATGAGAGTGGAAAACCGTATGTTACTGATAATTCTAATTACATTGTTGATTTGTATTTTAAGACTCCGATTAGAGATGCGAACGCCGCCGGGACGGAGATTTCGGCGCTTGAAGGTGTGGTGGAGCATGGGTTGTTCTTGAATATGGCTACCTCCGTCATCATTGCCGGAAAAACTGGTGTTGAAGTTAAAGACAAGTGATTTTAATTTATTTATTGTATCTGGATTCATTAAATTATGTTTTGAGTTTTATTTTGGGCTTTCAACATGTTTTGTACTGTTACAACTTCATATTTTTGTGAAAGAAATAATAGAAAAAATTTTATGTACCAACTGCTATACTGATATATATATATATATATATATATATATATATATATATATATATATATATATATATATATATATATATATATGCCGAATTATATGAATCTGATGCCATTATCAAAACCAAGATTTTATTCTAAACAATATAGCAAGGAAGCTGCGTGCCCAGTAAAAACTACTTTGAAAATTATTAAAATTTTGAAGTAACAAGTCATCTTAATAAAGTTGTTTTAAAATATGTAGTTTTTATAGTTATGGAATGTTATTTTAGATACCAAACCAGCTTACTAATTTACCGTCTCAAAAAGTTTCACAAGGTCGCAAAAGGAATTTTGAGAAAAAAATACAAATGTTTTAGATATTGATTTGACAAATACTCTTTTTAAGTGTCACTTCTTGAATTATTTTTTTATTTTTTTTTAATTATCATTTGCAAAATTTAAATTAGTATTAAATACACTTTTGTCAAACTTATTCTTAAATAATTATTAAAGAAAGAGAAAAAGACTCCTAAATAATTATTAAAGAAAGAGAAAAAGTAAAATAATATAATAAATAGTTAATTAGTTTTTTTTTTTTGGTTACAGCTTATTATAATTCTTAATAAACTTATTTTTATTATATATAAATAAATAATTAAGAATATTATAGGTAAAAAGAAAATTATTGTATAAAAAATAACAATATTGATTAGTTTTTTTTTTGTTACAGCTTATTATAATTCTTAATAAACTTATTCTTATTATGTATAAAGTTGACATATATTGAGTAAAATACTATTTATCATAATAGATTCTATTTAGAGTTGCAATCTATCATATACTTTTAACAAGTTCATGTTTTATTTCATATATAAATTTTTTTGAATATATATTAATTACAAAAAAAAGAAACAAACTCCCAATCAATAATTTCTGAATACAAAATTAGTTTTCTATGATATATATATATATATATATATATATATATATATATATATATATATATATATATATATATATATATATATATATATATATATATATATATATATATATATATATATATATATATATATATATATATATATATATATATATATATATATATATAATTAAATTTAGATCAAATACTAGTATTATAAAATTAGTATTGTGATCAATACTAGTTTTTTATTATAAAATTTAATGTTATTTATTAAATTTAGATCAAATACTAGTATTATTAAAATTTATTATGTTATTCAATAAATTTTAATAAAATTACGTTAATGTGTGATTTATATGGTCAATGATGTTTTATTGTCAAATAAAAGATTACTTTCTAGGTTCTTTTTTTAGGCTATATTCTACAAGTAGAGTAGGCTTTTTTTAAAATATATATATGTGGTTGGAGTATCGTCTCTTACAAGAATTTAATTTACTTTGGACAAATTTATTTTTAAATAATGCCTCCAAAAATATTAAATCATATGAGAAAAATAGTAGAATGGGAGATATTTATCATTAAGAGAAATATATAGAAGAAGGTATACAATGACATTTACACAATTTGAAATAGAAAGAGCCGTAAACAAAAACAATTTTTCTTTATTTGGCAAACTAAATATTCCTTACTCTTTAAGTTTCTCATTCTCCAATATATCCATTTTCTCTACATATTGTGAAAATTTGTCTTTATTGATCACAATTTAGTATCAGAGGTTTTTTACAACTAAAACGATTTTTCTTTGTGTTAATATTTGAATTATTCTCACTAATTCTTATTTTTAAAAGTGCATTTTTTTTGACAATTCTAAGTTTATTTATTTTAATTCATAACATCTTCAAATTAATTTATTTTAAGGTCTTATTTTGACAATTTTCTTTTAATTTACACAAAGAATGAGAATATCAACTACACACCTATTAATAAAGCATACTACCATTCTTCATAATTTATCCTTGTGACAAATTTAAAAATACATTACCTAATATCCTAAAGAGTAATTAACGTATTCAATTTAATTTTTTTACTCAGACTATACCACACACATATGGCATATTCCCCTCTCATTATTCTGCCTTTTTTCGATGCTTTGGAGGAGGGAAAATACTTTTCAAATTGAAATTAACACATGAAGAGAGAGACAAAGAAATAAAAGCAATTTTCCTTTTTACTTTTCGTATCAGAGGTCGACGAACAAGAAGAAAACGCAGCTTATGAGTGATATAGTGAAGACACGAGTGTTACGACAACGAGATTAAGCAATACAATGTCAAAGTAAAGAAGATGTGGATTTGAGTTCACAAAACGATATATATTTATGAGTTGTGATTTTGAGTTCACACGAAGAAGAAAATGGATATATGTTTGTGGGTTGTGATTTTGAGTTCACACGGAGAAGAAAAAGATAAATATATGTTTGTGGGTTGTGATTTTGAGTTCACAAGGATAATAAAGTTGTAGATTTGTTTATGAGTTGTGGTTTTGATGAGCGATGAATAAGGTATAGATTTGCTTGTGGGTTGTGGTTTCTATTTTAAGGGAAGAGGCAACTGAAGTGGATGTTTGATTTTAACATTTCATTTGTAAAGGAAGCTTTAATCACCAACACCTCTTCAACAACATTGATTCTAGTTTTGAATGAGGTTAATAAATCATTTCTTTTACCTTATGTTTGTTTTTTCTTATATGCACTATATTTTTATGTTCAACTTGGTTTGGATGTCCGAGCTACTGCTGGTATAGTTATGTGTACAATGAAGAATGTTGTTTCACTTACACTGCTTGTTTGTTGAGATACATGTAGGGTTTTACTTGTATTTTTCTTTATTCTTGTTGCTTTCAACTACGCAACCCATTGGAAGTTATTCTCGTTGATGTTGAAGCTTCACTTTTTGTGGTTGCTTTCACTAAAATTTCATTGGGCTCGACTTATGTGGGTTCTTGCAAAAAAGAAGTTTTTGAAATACTCATATCTACAATGATGGACCAGAGTGAATCAAAGTTGGAAGAGAACATGAAAGGTGATTATATCTAGCATAAATTTATGTTTATCTGACAATAATTTTACTTTTATTATGAACATGGAAGGTGATTACGAACATGAAATTGTCCTTGAAAATGACTACTTGCAATTTCGAAAGAATAAAAGATAAATAGATGTGTTGAATTTATGAACAATAAATGTCCATGGTGTACTCTAAAATGAAAAGAAAAGTGAAAATGAGTAAATGTCAATAAAAGCTTGGGAAATAGTCACACATAGAAAGGGACACTAACGTTAAAAATCTTTATAAAGAGTTATGTTCATTAACTCAACAAAAGGACAAGAGGATAAAGTAGCACATGGAAAAATGTGGTGGTCCCAAGTATTATGCCACTTGCCTCACCCATACACTCATTCGCTGGTGTCACTGATGGCGACACTAGCTTCGGGACCGGGTCTGAAGGCATGGGCGTAGAGGCGCCAGTGGCGGCTTGTAGGCAGCACTTAAGCATGGCAAAGGCTGACATATGGTAAATGGTTGTTGCTTTTGTTTTGATCGTTGCTTGAGTTTGATTTTTAAATTCGAAAATATGCAACACTTTGTGAAGTGTTGCTGAATGGAAATATTCAACTATTGGAAAATATTGTTATAGCTAGGAAAAACAACAAAACTATTGGTAAAAGTATTTCAGAAAAGATGTTGTTTCATCAAGGCTTGCAACCTTGTGAGACCATACAAATATGACCTATAAATAAGTCATTCCGAATTCAGAAATCACATCACAAAAATTCATATCATCTCCAAAAAAATCCATATTCTCTTCTCTACATTCGAGTTTTCATCCATCTTGTGCAAACTCGAGTATATGCTAAAATATCCTAAGTATTCCTGCATAGAAACTCTAAGAAATTTGAGAGTGCTTGAAATAATATAAGAAAAGTGATTCATTCATCATTCTAGCCTAGATCCATTCAACCTAGAAGCTTTATCTAACAACCTTATAGTATCTTAAATCATGGCCACCGACGCTTCAGTTTCAAGCATCAAAGTGATGATTTGGGACCTTGTCAAGTTGGATCGTTTCGATGGAACAAACTCCACCCATTGTCAAGACAAGATAGTGTTTCTATTAACTGTCTTGAAGATTCACTATGTCTTAGATCCTGATTTGATACCAATTCTAGAACCAACAAAAGGTGGCACCGATGAATTCAAGAAGGAACAAAAGAAACGAAAGGAAGATGATTTGCTATGTCGTGAACATATTCTAAATGCATTATTCGATCTTCTCTATGATCTATACACTTATACACAATTTGCAACAGAGATTTGGAAAGCAGTCGATTTCAAATTAAAGGCTGAAGAGGAAGGTGTGAAGAAGTTTTCAATATCTAAATACTTTGATTTTAAAATTTTAAACTCTAAGCCTATTCTTGCATAAGTATATGAGTTACAGGTTCTCGTGAATAAAATGAAAGCTGTAAAATAGACATTTCAGAAGTTTTCCAAGTTGGTGCAATCATTACAAAATTGTCACCTTCGTGGAAAGGATATAAGAATAAATTGCTGCATAGTTCTGAGGATTTCTCATTGGAGAAACTTCAGAAACAACTTGTAATTGAGGAGGAGACAAAGGATAGAGAAAAATCTGAGTCGGCTGGTGTTGCGGTGGAAATAGGATCACAAACTATTAATGAGTTTGAATCGCAATTCAATTCACAACCGCTCTTTGATTTATCCGAAGGAAAAGGTCAAAAGAGGGAAAACCTATTTTGCATCGTAAACACAATGCGGGGAAAGATCTAGGGTTCGGGGGTTGGTTAAATTTAGGGAAGGTATTAGCACCCTAAACTTCTGTAGTACTCTACAGGAACCTTTTGTTCAAATGTTTACTATTTTGCTTTATTTATTTGCTTAAGATAT